AGTCGTTTCCAATAAAACTATTTATATCCACAACCAAATTTGTATTTCCTTTTAAAAATGAATGGACCTTGGCAGAAGATGGTGACCTTGTGGGATGAAGCTGAGCAAGATGGAATTCAGGAAGAGGTACTCAGGATGTGCTCATAAGAGATTATCCAGTGCACACAGATGCTGGACAGTAAATTCAAGATTATGAAGACTGAAATGTTACAAGTTACCCATGAACTCCAAGCCATGAATGACAAAATCAAAGAGAACAGTGAGAAAATAAAAGTGTGCAAACCCTGCCATATCTTGTCTCCAATATCATCGAACTTTTGGATATTGATCTCAATGACCAAAAGGAGGAGGATGTCAATATTGACCTAAACTTCCAGAGGAAAAGCAAATATGCAGTGATCAAAACCTCTACATGACAGACATACTTCCTGCCTGTGATTGGGTTGGCGGATGCTGAAAAAATGAAGCCAGGAGACTTGGAGGGTGTAAACAAAAACTCCTTTGTGATCCTAGACTCATATGACCCTACCCACAGAGTACGACTCACGGGTGAAGGCCGTGGAGGTGGACAAGAGGCCCATGGAACAATACAGTGACATCAGGGGCCTGAACACGCAGATTCAGGAGCTGGTGGAGGCCATTGTCCTGCTAATTAGCCACAAGGAGAAGTTTGAGAACTTGAGGATCCACCCTCCAAAGAAGGTGCTGCTGTATGGACACCCGGGTTACAGGGAAGATCCTGCTAGCCAGGCCTGTGCTGCACGAACAAAGGCCACTTTCTTGCAGCTGATTGGCTTCCAGCTTGTGTAGATGTTCATTAAGGATGGTACCAAACTGGTCTGGGACCAAGGAGAAAGCTCCGTCTACCATCTTCATTGATGAGCTGGATGCATCGGCACCAAGCACTTTGACAGTGAGAAGGCTGGGAACTGGGAGGTGCAGAGGACAATGTTATAGCTTCTGAACCAGCTGGATGCGTTCCAGTCCAACACTCAAATAAGATAACTGCAGCTACTAATGGTGGCTAACATCCTGGACCCCGCCTACTCAGGCCTCCTACACTGAAAAATTGAGTTCCCAAAACCCAACAAGGACGCCAGACCAGAGTCATGTAGATCCATGCCCAAAAGATGAACTTCTGTCCTGATGTGAACCATGAGGAGCTGGCCCAGTGCAAGGCTTGTGTGGAGGTGGGCATGGTCATACTATGCAGGGATGCCACAGAGCTCACCCATAAGGACTACATGGAGAGCATCCTGGAGGTGTAGGCCAAGAAGAAAGCCAACCTGCCATACTACACCTGGTTCACTTCCCGCCACACCACTCCCTGGTCTCTTGATGGCTAAAATTTGTAATAAAAGATGGTTTTGGGTCCCTGCCAAAAATAAAAATAAAAAATAAAATAAAAATGAATGGACCAGTACCTACAGTCCAATGAAAAAGGAATGCTGTTCATCTGGCACACACCATGTATGCATGTTATCCTTGCAAAGAACCAGGATTGACCATGGAAAGAAAGGATAGATATGTTGAGGATGTGGACATTTAACAGAAGCCAAAGTCTACCCTACAGGTAGAAGTTCCGCCTCAGATTTCCCTGGAGAGGCCTTTTTAAGAGGATTATCCTCATGCTCCTGATATTGTGCCAAATGGGCAGTTGCTCATGCACCAGCCGTGCTGTCCCTGGCCCAGAGGCCCTTCTAATGGAGAGCTTGGTCTGTCTCCAAAACTTTACTGAGCTGCCGTTAAGTGTCAGGTGCTGTGTGAAGCAGAAAATCACTGTGCCATTAAAAGAGCTCAGTACCTAACACCATTAATAAACCAATAAGTATGTATTCACCCTCCTTTTCCTTTACCATCCCTCTACACTTATCACCTGATTGGCTGCTCTGAAGGGCTCATTCCCTAATCCACTCTCTTATGTCAGCACGTCCCAGACCTAGACCCTTCCAGCAGGTAGAAGGTTATAAGAGCAGAAGCGAAAACTAAGTTGGTTGCCAAACCCATATCCTGACTGGATCTGCTCATTCAAAGACCATATACAGCACCCTGTCATGTGTTAGACTCTGTGCAATGTATTGGGAACCATGCAAACAAGAAGGCCCTCAGGCCAGTGAAGGAAACAGCCCTGTAAACAAATGATCACTATTCGGGCCAATGCTTAAAATTGTTCACATAATATTATCTACTATTGTATCCAGCACCTAGAATAGTGCCTGGGCTGTATTATATGGATGCCCAGTAGTGTGGATCGGTGAATGAATATATTAATGGCAAACACTTACTGAGTGCTTACCGTGTGCAAGTGCTATTATAAGTGCTATTATAATGCATTTAACTCATTCGATGCTCACAACAATCCTGTGAGGTAGATATCATCATCACTCTTGTTTCTTGATAAGGAAAATGAGGCGCAGAAAGGTTAGGAGATTGCCCAGTTAGTATGAATAAAAGTCAGGATTCAAGCCCAGACCAGATAGTCTGGCCACAGAGTCTGTGCTCTTAGCCACTCTGCTTATAATTCCCCAGCACAGTGCTGGAGAATCACAGAGGAGGCAATCACCATCTGGGAACTGGGCAAGCTTCCAGCCTTCTTGCTGACTTCAGTATGAACATGGATGGCCCACCCAGCACCATGATGTCTCAGCTCCTTGACCTCCTTACTTTCAACAACCATTTGCATCATTCCACTTCAACCACAGTCTTTCATGTCAACCTTGCATCTTGTCATCAGCAATAAATTCACCACTTCTGAAATCTTAGTGTCAAGCCTTCTGCTCTCTGGCTTCACCATATCCTTCCAGCTCATTTATTCTAGGGCCTTGATTGAAATACTGGAAACTCCTTTCAACTGACTCCACTACTGCATTACTATCAATCAACCATTCCTGCCTTCATTTTCTTCCTTACTCTCCTTGGATTCCATGGTCTCCTATTATAAACTTTCCCCTGTATCTATTCCAGGCAGCCTTGCCTTTCTCTCCTTATCATTTTTGTCCAGCAAAACTCCAATCTAACCATCTACTCTCTCTATTCTTGCATTAGAGCTACTGAATGTGGCTGAGAAAATATACATCTGTGCTGACCAGAGTATCTTTAAATTCATGGCCACAAACAAAAAAGCACTCAATACTGCATAGCATTCCTATTATATTTTTCAAGTAAATTTCTCCCCTACTGTGCATGATAACTACTGTATGTTTGCCCATGACCATCACTGAGAAAACAAGTAATCAGACTGCAGCTCTGCCATTGGTCCACTGGCCAGTCTATAAATCTTCCTACTGTCCTGCTCTGTTTTCTCTCCCATAACTGTGGGAGCAATCTTTATGCTTCTCTGAAACGCAGTCTTCCCCTCCCATCTTCTTAAACACTTCGTTCCTTCAGTTATTCTCTATCTTCCCCATCTTCAATCTCTCTCTACAAGACCATTATCTTCAAATGACAAAAATGGTGCAATATCTCTCATTTTAAATAAAGAAACAAACCACTCTTAACCTCACACCTTCCTCTACTTGTCATTTATTTTTTCTGCTTCTCTCTATAACAAAACTTTTTTTATTTCCTCACCTCCATATCACTCTTCAACCGACCCCATTTGGGCATTTGTTCTCACTTCTCTGTTTTTGTCATGATCACTAAATGACATCCATGTTGCCAAATCTACTGCATATTTCTTAAACCGTTAGCATCATTCGACACAGTTGATCATAATCTCCTTTTAGAAGAACATTCATCTCCTGGTTTCTTTGATCCCCCTTTTGGTTGCCTTTCACTCCATGGCTATTCCTTCTTGGTCTCTTTGGCTGGAGTCTCCTTCTCTACCCCATGCCTGAATGTTAGAGGGCCTCAGGAGTGGTTCCAGCCCTTTTCCCTTCTCCATCTATTAATTCTATTTTCTTGGGTGGGGGGCTGGGTGGGGGCAGGGTGTTCTCATCCTGTCCCATGGCTTTATCAGCATATACATGATAATGATTCCAATATTCATAGCTCCATCGCTGACCTCTTCGCCAAAATTCCAGATTCATGTATCCAATGGCTCTCAAGGACCCTTAATAATCACCCCCCAGAAATAGAGCCCTTTAATCACCACACACACATACAAACTTCTTCCTCCCTAGGTTCCCCAGTCTCAGTAAATAGCACCCCCATCTACCCAGATTCTCAAGCCAAAACTCTCCCCTGCCTCAGCCATTGACCGGCCTCTCCACACAGCAGAATGATTTCTTCAAAACATAAATTAAATATTTTCATTTGACTTTTTACCACCTTTCTCCTTATCATGTTCTCAAGGTCCTGAAATACCTGTCTCCCCTCAATCTTTCCATCCCTTTTCAACACAAGCCCTTTAGTTCACTATGCTTTAGCACACCCATCTCTCTTCTGTCCTTCCAGCTTTCCAAACTCTTTTCCACATCCGGTGCCCTGAAATTCTCTTCTCCAAGCTCTTTAGATTGTTGCCGCATTCTCCTCTCTTGGGGCTTAGCTCAAATGTCATCTTAGAGATGCCTTCTCTGACCAGCCATATCAAATATGGCATCTCCAGTTTATACTTTTAGAAAACATTTATTGAGTGCTTCCCAGACATTGTTATTAGTGCCTTACATTCATTAACTCTTATATTCCTCACAGCTTGATGAGGTGGGCACTGTTATTGTTATTATACCAATCTTAAAAGTGAGGAAACAGCCCAAAGAGATAATAACTGTCCACGGTCAAACATTTATCAGAGATGGTGTCATGATTTAACCCTGCGCAGCCCAGCTCCAGCCTGGCCTCTCAACCATCATACCACCTGCCTCTCTCGCATTACCTGTATGTCTCCTTCTAGCACGTTTTACAATAGAGCTGCTTCCTCATTTAGTTATTTGTATACTATCAGTCTCCTCATCAGGATGTAAGGATGAGGATCCTCAGGGCACAGTGAGCACAAATAATATGATAAATCATTTTGTTTTAAATGATTGAATAACACTATGTATGTTTTGTATATATTTCAGAGCAGATTTATTATGCTGGCCCTGCCAATAATCCTGGATTTGAAATTCCCCAGGTAAGGTGTTGGTTTTCTATTTTGTTTTATTACTTAATTATTGTATTGAGCAGCTTCTTGAAGAAGGAGAACAGAAGGGGGAGGGTAGAAGGAGAGAGAAGAAGGAGGAGCATGGAATTAAATAATTTAAAACCTTTTCCACAGGCCATCACTAAGAAAACCCTTTCTCAGTAAAGCTGGTACCTCACAGTGGGTACTTACAAATGCTTAACGCACTGGTTTTATCAATTTAGTGTTTAACATTTCATATTCTGTCAGACCCTTAGAGAGCCCCTGGGTAGACACCTTCCCCCTAAAAGGATACAGGTCTCTTGCCCCTGCAAGATTGCTGTGTCTGGGGAGACTCCATATGGCTAGAGCTGCTGGGGGTGTGGGAGGCAGCCACAGGCTTGCTGTTAGTAGTGCTTGATAAGGCTGGCCATTCAGAGAAAGGAAGAGGCACACAACCATGAGGGCTTGAATGTCCTCCAGTTACCGTCCTTGCAGTATTATTCATGGGCTGCCACCAAGTAAATGAAATGTCCACCACACCCTGAGCATTTGCTGGTGAGCCTCACAGCTAAGAGTAGAATTTTCTACTAATTTTTTCTTAAAATAATGCGACTTCATTAGATGGCTAAATTCAAGCAGCTCTGACATAAGCGATAAATTTTCAGTGTGCTACTCCTAAGAGAATATTATGGAACAACGTAAAAAAATCACAAAAATGTAATCATTTTAATTGTTTTGTTTTCAACATCATCCTTTCCATCCTCTAAAACCTGGATGTATATAACTCTGGAAAGGGGTCTCCTTCTCCATAAAGAATGTTTAGTTTCATTTCTCTTGTATGTTTCCTTTCTATCGGAGCCTCTGGGTTCCTAAGGTCAAAGCCACATAGCTCTAGACCATCTGGGATGTTCACCAGGGTGCTCTGGCAGCTGGCAAGTTTCCCATCTTTCCTTCCCCCTCTGGGCTTCTTCTTCCCCAATTTTCTCTGCAGCCTTTCAGCATAATAGAGTTTTGCAAACTTCTTCACTTCTAGGATATGGGACCTAAATTCTCCAGAGAGTTTTTTCTTTAAATCTTTGCTATTTGAATTTTTTTTCACCATTTTCCTTCATATATATATATATGTGTGTGTGTGTATATATATCTTCATATATATAAACTTTCTGTAACTTTCTGCTCAATTTTGCTGTGAACCTAAACTAAAGCTCTCTAAAAAACAAAGTCAATAAT